ATTCTGGGTCAAAGGCTTTATTTTTCCCCTTTTTTCCTCCTCCATCTCATTATCCAGTTTGACAGTATCTGGGCTCCGCTTCCCCAGACAGGAGCGCAGCTCTGTTTGTAAACAGTAATTGAGTTAAAAGATGTTTTGTGTCAGAGCTGAGCTGGTTTTTTAGTTGCTCGCTCTGCAGAAGGGCTGGCTCCTGTAGGAAGGTGCTGTGCTGCCTCTGAGCACTGGGTCTCCACAAGGTCACGCAGCTCCTTATCGCCGCCGAAATTTGTCTTTTATCCTAATCAACGCCAGGGTGCTGCGTTTTTATCAAACTTCCCGTCCCCTAAAGGAGAATCAGGCTTGAAGCTGATAGTGCTATTTTGGAGTAAATACTTCAATTCAGCCTTTCCTGTTAATTGAAATGGGATAGACTGCTTTCCTTTCTTCAGCTTTTCAAACCTATCTGTCTTGTGCTCAGGAACTTGCAGCCTTTCAGAAGCGTGTTCATCTGTGGACAACCACCGTATGTAACTTTCCTTGTAGTACATGGCACTGCTTTCAGCAGGGCAGGAGGTGATGGCCTTAAGTTACACCAGGGCAGGTTTGGGTCAGATATTAGGAAAAATTTCTTCTCCAAAAGAGCAGTGATGCAGTGGCACAGCTGCCCAGGGAGTGGTGGAGTCACCATCCTTATACTTGTCCAAGAACCATGGAGATGTGGCACTGAGGGACGTGGGCATGGTGGGGTGGGTTTGGGTTGGACTAGATGATCTTAGAGGTCTTTTCCAACCTGAATGTTTCATGTTTGACAATTCCATATGGAGGACAAATGTGATGGCACTTTTAAGTGCCTTTTATTAAGCTCTGCTACCATGCAGTGCTAATTCTCTACTTTTACCTTGCTCCTTGCGAACAGCAGTACCTTTGACAATGCAGCCTCCTTTCTAAGCCACTGTTTTTCAGGGCTTTGTCTCATTTCTCTGAAATATGCAAACAGACAGGGAATTTAGACTGAGACTTTAGACTTAGAGCTGCCTGAAAGATTTACAGGACCAGTTCCCATGAGCCTAATGGGACTTGTCTATCTAAACCCTTTACAAGACTCTCAAATCTCTGCCTTCTGCTGTTATGGAGGCATCAGTGATGGCCCAATAAATGAGGGGAATTGAGGTTTACAGTTGAAGGGTTGTCTCAAATTTACTGTTGGATACAAAAGAAAATACAGTGTTTCTTCCCCAGAGCCGCAGTGCTCAGAATGAAAGTCTGAGCGTTTACAAGTAAATCTGTTATTCAGTGTGGGAATTAAATTAAATTATTCATACTTGAAGAAATTTAGGAACGTCAGACTCTTCTTTCCTTGATAATTTCAGTAATACAGTGGTAAAGTCGCTTCAGACTTGTCATAGGTTCAGTGACAACTTTCCTCTGTATATTTGATGCTGTTGAGTGTTTACATAAAGTGATGCTCTCACAGATAGCTGTCTTCTGTGGACAGTAATTCATGTTGTTGGGTATAGAGAATAATCTTTCTATCACAAGACATTTCTATTCCTGCTTTGCAGACACGAGACCTTTTTGCTTGCTGTTAAAGCTTGCCCTCTTTTTCAAAAAATTTTCAATCTTACTTCTTCTTCTGGTTGTTTGCAAGGATAAATGCCTGTGCAACATGGCCTTCCTTAGTTGGTCTTTCCTCAGTCGTTCTCAGCATCCGCAATCTACTGCTGCTATTATATATTATATATTGCTGCTATATTATATTTATCACCATGCTCACTACGTTGAGCTGTTTGTAGAATCATAGAATGGCTCAGGTTGGAAGGGACGTCAAGGACCAGCAAGTTCCAACCCCCCTGCCACATGCTGGGTTGCCAGCTGCTGGATTGAATACTAGATCAGGTTGCCCAAATGTTCCTACGTCGTTTGTACTTTCTATTAGAACTTCTGCAGGTACGCAGGCTGAACTCAAAATATCAGTGCTATATTTTGACAGGCGTGTTTTTTGGCTTAGTCAACATCCAGATAGAACCATCCATACAAGAGCAAGATGCTTTGCTGTGCTGCAGTTTGGCCCTTTCTCTAATGTTAGTTGCGATGGTTGGAAGATGCCTGACCTTGGCCAACATTTGTGAAACCTATTTGATGCTTGGATGAGGATCCATGATTACAAACAGGAGGAGGAGGAGAAAACACATTTGATTGTGTTTTCTTGGTCACTAGGAGATTATCAGTGTTCCTTTAGATTATTCTCTTGCACTGATATTATTGATATAGAAATACAAACTACCTGAGTTATTACCTTTGATTAGTGAGAGCTACTTAGGCTTATCCGTCCTCTGACCCATTTCTTGCCATGTCCTCAGGTGTTTTTACAGTCTGGTGGAGGCTGGTTCTGAAGGGTTGGAGAAGACTTCTGGTAGTGATAATACCACAACAAAGAGAGATGGTGGAGGTGACTATGCTTCTAACTGTTGCTTAAGTGAGATGGGGTGAATGCTCAGTGGAGGGGCTTCTCTACATTGGTAGATTGGCAGTTTTGCTCGCTGCCTGGGAGGCTGGAGAACTGGAGTAAAACAGAATGGGGATCACCCCATCATGCATGCAGAATAAATGGGGTGAAGAAGAGTAAGTCAGTGTGGAGAGCACCTGAACCATCACCTCTGAGCTTCCCAGGGGAAGGGATCTGAAATTACTCCTGCAAGTTGTCCTCATCTACCGTATAAAAATCCTTTTTGTAGAAGACAGTCATTCCCTTCCCTAACTCTTCAGGATGTGGTGGCAGAGTATCACTGAGCCATTGCTGGCTGCGTGGCTTTGTTCTGCAGTGAGTGGTGTCTTTGCAGGCCTGTGACCTGCCCTGAAGGCTGGGCAGCGCACAGCTTGCTGTGACAGATGCTTTCAGAGCAGGCTGAAGCTTTCCTCTGCCTGGGTGGCCTTCACATGTCACCTGCTGCCTGCTCCACGCAGTGGATAAGGGCCGTCAGGTACAGGTGCCAGCTGGCAGCTCTCTTCTCTGCTTCTCATGTGCTTTCAGTGTTCAGATAGCAACGCAGGTAAAAAAAAAAAAAAAAAAGGTGTCACAGCTGCTGAGCCACAGCTACACCCGCTGCCAGGCATCTGCATCCATGCAGAATTTATGTAGATGCTCAGTAACAAAGCGTTAGTGTTCAGGAGATGATGGGATGTGCTTTCCTGTTTCGAAAGAATATCAGATGTGTCTCTGTTGAAGAATTTTCTGGGATACTGCAGGTAACATCTCCAGCAGATGTTGCACTGTGTGATGCATTGCTTCCCTTTCTGTCCCAGAAAACACACCTAGACCTAATATTAAGGACTTGAGAGAAATGCCATTGAGATAAATACCACTCCCATTGATTTCTTCTATAGTGCTGTAAATCCCACGAAGTTCAGGCTGGCTGTTTGACTGTCCCTTTTTGTGAATGTGAAAGAGCAAGGGCAGGGAGAGCAGGAGAATGCCACGAGGCAGAAATAGCAGAACCGTACTCTTGCTGCATCTGGGCTCCATATGAAACCTTTGCCTCAATAGACCATAGAGGTAGCCAAGATGCTGCAGAGAACTAAGGATGACGAGAGCTCCTGGGTCACTGCGTTAGGTCACCTCCCAGCCCATACTGTGACATGCTACAGTGCCATTCATAAACACACTGTGGTTCACTTACACCCTTTGCTGGGGTTTGTTTGCTTGGTTGGGAGGAAGAGCTGCCCTGCCAGTCCACTCCGCAGCCCCTCTGATCTTGCAGGCTGAAATCTTCCTCTAATTTCCAGTGTAAATAAGATCAAGACTCACATGCTCATGTGCTACAGTCCTTAGCTTCAGTTTCTCCCCCTAGGCATTAAATCTACATATTTATTTACAGAGAGCAGATCTATCCCCTTCCAGCCTTGTCTTGCTAAGGCTGGAGAATTGTTCTTTATGTGCTGTCTTGCCCCATCAATCCCTGCTACAAAGGACGATCCCACTTCTCAAAGAGTTGTTGGATATCTGAAGCTGCTTTAATAATAAGTCACTTAGCTTTTCTCTGGCATTATTCCCTGAACAAAGCCACTTTGGTCTGCAGAAAGTCTAGGGTTCGGCTCAATGTCAGAGTGACATCCAGTGGAAGCATGGCAGAGCATCTCTATAGCACACCCACCTGGCAAAACCTTGCTTGTCACTGCTTTAAATTTATTTTATTCTTGCTCCACTGAGCAGGGCAAAAACTTGCCAAAGTCAACATGTGATGAATGAAATGGCTTTCGTTGTAAGACCTGTCAATACACTTCAGCTTCCTTACAATAAAGGGTGACTCCTTTGACGTCTGGGACTTGCACCTGTCCTCCTTCTGAAAGCAATACATTCTCGATATGCCGAAATGCCACTCTTAGGAAATCAACAGAGTTAATCTATTGGGAACACTGAGGTCTCAGGGCCAGCTGTTCAGCTTTTCTTAGTATCATAGCTCCATTGATCTAAAGCAGCTCTGATGATACACACCGACTGCTCGTATCAGATAAAATCCCTTTTTTAGTTATTTTGTGCAAGGAGAATAGTGATTAAGGCTGATCTGGGGACAGAACAAAATGGATTATCATAATAAGTAATAACTGGAAAATAGGAGGTCCCTATATTTTGGGTACATTCAATGTTGAATTTGAAGCAAGGAGAGGGGAAAGAATACTGGAGGTGCTCTTTTTCTGCGCGTAAAAGTAGGGAGTGGGTAACATGGACCTTAATTTCTCACTTCTGTTTGGTTTCCACATTTCCTTCCCAACCACCCTCCCCTCCCCATCCCTCTCTGAGCCATAAGCATCAGTGTCCAGGACTCGGCCTCCTTCCCTTCTCCTCCTTCCGCAGGGTTTGGTCACTGGGATGTTTCACCCAAAAAGGCTCTTGGCGCTGGGTAGGTGGTGATGATTGCTTTAACCCAGTGCTGAACAGACTGAGGCATTGCAGTTACTAACCCGTTTATTGCAATGGGCTTTTATCATCGTTTTAATTCTCCGTTTTGCTTGTGGATCCCAAGGAACCTGCGGGATGCTGGGACAGCCTTTGACCAGGAAGATCTCCCCATCTCTCCCCAGTGTCTTCCAGGCAAACGAGAGAGGAACTTAATTCGTTTGAAGAAGCACCAAGTGTTTAAGGTAATTTGAAATCCTTCATCTGTCAGTATTCTTGACAGCAATCAGGAACAATGGAGAAATAAATAAATTAAAATCCCGTAGCCATGGAAGCACACTTTAGATTAGATTTCTATTTGCATGCTTCGTACATATACACAAAACATATTTCATGTACCAAGTTAAATAATGCACAATACTTAAACTATTCTCACTTTTTATCCTTTGGTTATTGTAATTACAAGTAATTTTGTGAAGGATTTTCTATTTTTAAGAAATCACACTTTTGTACTTGATCCAGCTAACAGGATTTTCTTACATTACTTCATAAAGAGACCATCTTTAAACTTCTAATGTTATTTCTTATTCATTAGTACATATGCCTGTAGGGTATGTTCATAAATGGGTTAAAGTTACAAAGTTATGCTTATAAAAGCTCATGGTAATTTGGAGTATCAGGAGGATTTATTAATTTTGAAATCTTAAAAGAGCAAAAGCTAAAATGAGATTGGATTAAGTATATTCTTGCATGCAGTTATTCTAAACACCCTTAAGGACCGCAGACTAACTTACAGAGGACATTATGCAAATATGAATATATCTCTAAGTGCCTCATAGGCTTGCTGATGTAATATTTTACATGGTTAGTTAAGTACATCAAGTAAAAGGTTTGACCTTGATATACTGTAAAAGGTACTTATCCCACAACACCCAATTGTTTTCGGTGCCATTGTGAAATATATCGCTCAAACGTGCAAACAATTCTGTGCATAAATCTCATTAAATGTAGCTCCAGCAGCCAAACAGCTGTCCACAATACCCCGTCTCTTTAGAAGACCAAAGAACTGCTTTATGATTTATCTTTATCAAAATGCTGTTTATATTTATCGACAGTACCAGGCTGTGCTTAAGGAGCGAGATGACAATTTCTTATTGGGACAAACAGAGTTTCTGTGCTTTGTTACTGGCACCTGTTCCCATTACACAGTTCAGGTTTTGGTTTTTTTAAGGGCATGCAGAAGGTGGAAGATTACAATGCCCTAAAGTCAAACAATGTTCTGGGGAAGGAAAACAAGTTTGGGTTTTGATCTTGGCTCAGAATTTCTGCACATTCTTGGGTTTACTTTCCTCTGATTGTGCTGCAGTAAGCTTGACTATAGGGACTTAAACATTCCATTTTCCTGTATCTTGCCTCCTCTTGCCCCTACTCCATTCCATATATATATATATGTGTGTGTGTGTTCCATTGAGGTGGTAATGAAACAGAATAGAAAAATGGATTGCTAAATATTGTGTTATCTTTTCTGTGTGCGTATCTGAAGGGAAGATTGGCTGATGTGGCACCTGCAGATTACTTTAGGGTAAATCCTTGTTTGTTCTGTTTAGCATTTTTGTGGTTATCACTAACTGAACTGGAGGGAAAGGCTCTGTGGATGGGGGAAGTAGGCATGGGTTCCTTATATTAATCAGATGGAAAAATAGATATTCAGTCCTGCACACCAAGACATCAGCCCCCTTCTAAAGCCTGTATCGTATCAAGCGGTTCCTGCGGGGCTCAAGCAGTAAAGAGTCTAATCTCTCTCAAGTCCCTCCAAAGTGACCAAAGTGCTCCAAACATATTTATGGCACTTTATGTTGGACTGCAAATAGCCTATTGGGATTGCTTCTCTTACATGATGGTTTGGGAGTGATTAGGTAGTCAGGGGGTTGGAAAAAAAAGAGAATTAATAATGCAGCTTCATTGGGGTGATGTTGATCGTGTGGGATGTTGCACCAAATTCTGCTTTTTCATTCGGTCCGTCTTAGAAAAATGATGAATTAGCTGTGAAGTACTACTGAGAATGTATCACTAGCATTTGCCAGCTACCTGGGAAAACTCGACCTGTTGTGTATGTCACAGGCTGAAGTACTATCCCAGAAAAAAAAAAACAAACCACGACTGCAGCTTTATGTGAACAAGAGCTATTTCTGTGACTCTGCCTGCCATGCTGTGGTTTTGCTCAGAGGAAAAAGCCAGTGGTTTTCATACGAGATGAGGGGGTGTTCCCAAGTTCTGGGCAATTTTGTATAATATGATATTGTTTCTGAAAGTTATGTCTTTTGTGGTAAAGCACGAGCAATCAGGTCCATTCAATTTGGACCTCTCCTCTTAGGATAGATGTTAGGAAGAAGTTCTTCTCAGAAACAGCAGTGACGCGTTGGAGCCAGCTGCTTAGAGAAGCGGTGGGGTCACCATCCCTGGAGATGTTGGAGAACTGTGGACACGTGGCACTGAGGGACATGGTCAGTGAGCATGGTGGGGATGACTTTGGCTTGGGGATCCTAGTGGTCTTTTTCAGCCTTCATAATTCTGTGACACTATTTGGAAGGTTATGTACCCAAAGAGGAGAAGAGCTTGGAAGCGAGATGAGATTTGAGAAATTGTTATTCTCTGAGCCTGTGCTTGTTTGCAAGGACCCTGTGAATGTATTTGACCAATGTATTGCTCTTGTTTGGCTGGCATCGGGAATGAACCCGCTTCCATGCCACAGAGGTAATTCCAAGGATGCGTGTCAGTATGTCACACTGGTAATTCTGAATATCCACTTATTTCTGTGGTATATCTAGCTGGAGTAAGTCTGTTTGCTAAAGGATAAAATAAGAAACTGTTTTGAGGAGGTTTACTGATTTCTTTTGCTTTCACGTGGAAAATAAAATTACTACAAAGGCTGTTCGTACTAAATGGAGGTTCCACTGGGATTAGTGAGGATGCGGTGCCTCTGAGCAGAAGCTTCTGTCTCTGCAGGAGGAGATGTTTATAAGGAGAGGAACTGATCTCTAACAAAATCTGGTGCTTGAAGTAATATGCCACACACGTCGTAATTTAGGACCTGATCCATGGAAGTGTGGTATTTGGATAAGCAGTTGGGTGCCTTGTGAATTTACAAACACAGCTAAACAGATTAGGTTAGGTTGGTAACTCACTGGAAATATTTGTTGGTTCCTTTTGGCATCTGTCTGCCACTTTGGTCTCCAAGAAACATGCCTGAATGTATCTTCATTCTGTGAGGAGCTCGTATGAATTTGTTTCCTTAAAGTGAGTTAATTAAGTAGGTTGTTAGCTATGCATTTATTTTAATCCTAGTGAGCTGCTGTGTACAAGTGCTGCATTCATCCTTTGTATCTACCAAAACTTCATAATCAACAAAGAAGTCATTATTAATCTATTCATAATGCATGCATGTACAGAAAACCTGTATAGAAATCCATGCAATGTTCTGTGTGTGCACAGAAAGCAGCAAGTGGTATTCCTGCATCCAGATCTGACTCATTTTAAATTCAGATTGGGGGAAAAATATCACTAGCAAGATAACATATCACACTACTGAAGATGATAGCTTTTTTATTTTTTTATTCTTCCCAGTGCTGAATGTGTGCATGAGCAGTAGAACCCAAATGGAAGCACAATGTTGATCTCCTAAGACAAGAATAAGTACAATGCATTTTCTTTGGGTCCTGTAGATATGTATTTGGCGTTTCTGTGTGCATTCACTTTAGAGATGGCTGGAGAGGAGAAGATCTTTGTTTTAAATGAAGTAAAAAGCTGCAGGGTGAACGACATCTTCTGCATGTACCATAGAAGCAATACAGCTCTAAACAGGGACCTGGGTGGAAGGAGTGAATGTGTATTCATTTACATAACAGGCAAGTGAAACACATCTCTGGAATTGAGTGCTGACTGTGTAAGTAAGTTACTTTTAAAATCTTACAGCTTCTTCCTTTATCTCTTCATGTTGTAGCTCTGATTCTCTGATTTAGGGTTCACTTCTGCCACTGTGTGAGCTGCAGCACAGTGTGGTGTTGGTTCCTACTGGGCTTTCCTGGAGTTGCTGAAACAAAAAATTATTTGTATAAGATGCTTAACAAATATTTTGTACAAAATTGAACATTGGGATGTTTCCTAGCAATGCATGCTTGTTACAAACTCCTACAAGTGCAAAACAAGAAACAAAGCAAGAAAATCCCTGCTCATCTGCAAAACATCATGTTATGGGAGAGCCAAGCAACCTGTCCCTTTCACCCACCTTATGTTGGGTTGTGCCTTGGAGATGCAACATCATGCTTAATGTTGTAGGGGAGCAATAGGGGAACCTGTTGATCCTTGCATCCCACCATCAGAAGGTTAATGTATAAATGAGCTGGCTGGCTTTCAGCTTTATTGAAATCATCATGGTACCATAAAGCAAGGGCAGCCGCCTTGCCTTGCACCTGCTGAGGCTCTGTGCTCCACAGCCTTTATGGAACGAGCACTGGGAATATATTAATAACAAATGATTTGATTGTGGAAGGAAAAGGTCTGTAACAATGATATATCTGCTCATGGCTGTGCTTCCATGGAAATCGCTGATAAATCTTCTTGATAATTCAGATTTGGGGGCAGGGGGTTGTCAGTGATGATAATTGAAAATTGGGGAAAAATACTTTTGATCCTGCAATTGCAGGATTTTGTTTTTAGGGGGTTGGGGGATGTTTTTTCTCTCTTTCTCTCTTTCTCTCTTTCTCTCTTTCTCTCTTTCTCTCTTTCTCTCTTTCTCTCTTTCTCTCTTTCTCTCTTTCTCTCTTTCTCTCTTTCTCTCTTTCTTTTTTAATTTTAATTTTCAGTATTTCAGCAAGTAGAAAAAATATCTCTTGTAGAATGAAAGGCCTTTGAGTCCTAGCTATTACATATCCTTGTGGTTTGAAGAACTTTTTTTGTTTTTTAACGTTTTCCAATTAGATTTTCTGGAATAAAACAGAAATATAGTCCTGTAGTTTGAAGGGAAAACAAAATAATTTGTTGGTTTAAAGAAGGTATTTTGCATTAATTTTTGTAGTAGGTTGCATCAGCTTGCTGAGCAGTTTGGTTGACTACAGTTTGATTATCTTTCATAAGAGATGTGTTGCCTAAAAACACCCTCTTTTTCTGCTCATGTCTGCTGTTTCCTAGCTTGCTGACTCTTTGTCTCATCCATTAGATTTTTGTTAAAACTTCCAATTTAGTCCCA